GAATTCAATAGTTATCCTCATGAGTTCCACATTTTAAGAAAGGGCTATGTTTCAAAAGGGGAAGGTTTGACTGTCTGAAGCTGGAAAATGGAAAACCATAGTGACACTAGTAAAATACGTCTTAGCCTTTAAAATTAGACTGCAACACTTTTTCAGTAACCATGAAATAACTTTTCACTTAACAGTTCACATTCAGTTAAAATGTATGTTAATTCTTTTTTGTAAGAGGTGAAAAAACACAAGAATTGCGAGTTGAAACAGAGGGGAAAATCAATCTTCCCGTATAAATAGAGCATGATTCCAGACCGCCTCCGTTATCCCTGAACTGCCACATACACTAGGCAATGACACCTAAACTGTTATTCATCTTTCTTCTACATGAATGACTTCCCTATCCATTAACCAGGCAGTACTCTCCAAAATTCTCAAACCTTCTACTTTCCCTATATTCATTATACAAGAGAAACCTCCCGCAGCCATCAAGTCAACCTACGTCTGATGCTTTCCACATTTTATTTCACCTCACGCCAAGAAAGAAAGTGGAAATGTATGAAAGTCATACGAAGATGTTGTCTTTTTATTCACAGAGCTTACCTGGACAGAATCCGCACTGATAATTTCACCATTGAGCCGCTTCGCCAGCTCTAAAGCAAGGCGGCTTTTACCAGACCCAGTGGGGCCAGAAATGACGATGACCTTCTCTTTGGTGTCCTTCTTATTGGCGCCAGAAAACGAGGATGCGGTGGCCAAAAGGCGGCGGCGGCAAGTGAAAGAGAACCGAGCTGGTCGGAGTAGAGATTTCTCTGAGAAGCAATGGAGATGCGAGCAACACATTCGGAAACTGCATACACCCCCGCTAATCATCTCCGGTTGAAAGCGATGAGAGTTGAGACGCAGCAGGCCAGCAAGAAGCTCAGATAGCCTTGTTCCGCTCTTTCAGACAGCCAAACTTAAACGCAGAAGCCACTATTTACTTGGCTTCTGTACAAAATGCGGAGTACTGACATTATTTTCCTCTTTCTTTTTGTTTTTACGAAATTACGATTTTATTTTGTTATGCATTTTATATTTTATAATTGACGACAATGTTTGAACAATTATCTTGGAATTTTGGAAAGTTTAAGAATATATTTCTTAAATTAAATAAGTCGTGATATTTATGATTTTGTTAAAAAATTGTCATTGTTATAAATAATACTACCTCCGGTCCGATCCTTAATATAAGATCTTATTTGACTTTTATTTTGGTCCTAAATATAAGACCCTAATCAACTTTATCTATCATATTTATGCATTTTCTCCAAATAACCAATACACTTGATTAGCAAGAATATTTTTGGACCTTAGTCCTAATTATAAGAGTCAGTTGACTAATTTGAAGAGATTAAGGAAGTAAGTTGAGTTAGTTATTTGTAATAAATAAATGTTATCTTTTCCAAAATATCCTTGCTAATCAAGTGTATTGGTTATAATTATCATTGTTAAAAAGACCAATTTAGAAAAAAAATGTATAAATATGATAGACAAAGTTGAATTAGGATCTTATATTTAATATCAAAATAAAAATCAAACAAGGTTTTATATTAAGGACCAGAGGTAATACTTCTTAACTTTAATATAACATCTAGATAACTAATTTACAAATATTAAGAAAATTAGTTAAATTAGTTGTTTGTAATAAATAGATATTTTTTTCTTAAAATACTTCATCAATGCGTTGAAAGTTTAAAACTACCTTTGATGAAAACTCTTTAACGTGTATAATTATTATAGAGAATAAATATTTGAAATAAAGTGGTTTACAGTCTTGCTATTTAAAACCATATTAAATCTCCCATGGACTTTTATATTAAAAATCAGATGTAGTATTAAACATCAAATATCTTTTGAATTGGCATATTCATTCCAAAATACTCCTCCGGTCCTAATTATAAGACCCAATTGACTTATTTGAGGAGATTAAGGAAGTAAGTTAAGTTGGTTATTTATAATAAATAAGTGTTGTCATTCCTAAAATATCCTTGCTAATTAAGTATATTGGCTAAAACTATCATTATTAGAAGGATTATCTTGGAAAAAAATGCATAAATATAAGAGACAAAATGGATTGGGGTCTTATAATTAGGACCAAATAAAAAGTCAAATGGGGTCTTATAATAAGGACCGGAGGAGTAATAACAAAAAATATAGTTCCACAATTCGACACAATAGGATAAATAGACTACCTTTCAAAAAGGAGAATCCAAGAAAAAAACCCTTAAATTCTAAAATTTTAAATTAATCTTATTGATTACACTTTAATAACAATTAACAATATTTAAAAAACAAAAATAATACATTTTTGTAGTCTTTTCTGGTTTAGAATTTGAAAAATTTTAAAGGTATTTTTTTGAAATTTTTCCTTCTTATTTCCAAACGTTAGAATTTTGACCCTTTTTTTTTTGGCCGTCGATTATTAGAATTTTGGCCACAGAATAGGGATCATATACAAATATTATAATCATGAATATTACAAATTGATGCGAGGTTCACAAGAAATGTGGTAAAGTATTTATGAATTATGATGAAAGAGCCGAATTGCCTGTATTTTAAAGGGAAAAAGACAAAAAAATGACATGTTAATTTGGGAATGACCAGAACGTCTGCTGAACTTGTAAAATCCCATTTGGTCATATGAGACCAAATTAGTAGTATCTTATCAAATGAAAAGATCAAATTGTCCTTTATTTTATGTATTATTTTTAAAATACCAAAGCCCCCACTGGTCGGCCAATCGCCGGAGCTCTGGCGGCGGCAGTCACTGGAGCTCCAGCAACCAGCCGACAATTGGTCACCGGAGCTCTGGCAGTCGGAAATAATTTTTTTAAAAATTTTTACAACTTCAATATAACAGTTAATAACTTTTGTAACGCTATTAACAACTTCAGTATAACAATTAACAACAGGTTTTCTGGGAAATTCAACAAGCTCCGGCTGCCGGAAACATTTTTTTTGAAAATTTTTATAACTTGAGTATAACAATTAACAACTCTTGTAACGCTATTAACAACTTCAGTATATCAATTAAAAACAGGTTTTTTAAGAAATTCAATAATTGCTTTGGCGACTGAAAACAATTTTTTTTTAAATTTTTACAATTTCAGTATAACGGTTAACAACTTTTGTAATGTGATTAACAACTTCAGTATAGCAATTAACAACAGGTTTTCTAGGAAATTCAACGAGCTCCGGCTGCCGGAAACAATTTTTTTGAAAATTTTTATAATTTCAGTATAACAGTTAACAACTCTTATAACGTTATTAAAAACTTCAGTATATCAGTTAACAACAAGTTTTTCAAAAAAATTCAACAATTGGTCGCTGGGGCTCCGACAGCTGGAAACAATTTTTTTTGAAATTTTTTTTATAATTTCAGTTTAATGGTTAACAACTTTTGTAAAACAATTAACAACAAATTTTTTTGAGAAATTCATAAAGTAGTATTTTTACAACTTCAATAATGCCGTTAACAAGTTTCATAACTCTATTAACAATTTCTATATAGTACTACCTCCGGTCCTAATTATAAGACCCAGTTGACTTATTTGAGGAGATTAAGGAAGTAAGTTAAGTTAGTTATTTATAATAAATAAGTGTTGTCATTCCTAAAATATCCTTACTAATTAAGTGTATTGGCTAGAACTATCATTATTAGAAGGACTATCTTGGAAAAAAAATACATAAATATGAGAGAAAAATGGATTAGGGTCTTATAATTAGAACCAAACAAAAAGTCAAATAGGGTCTTATATTAAAGACCGGAGGTAGTATTTAACAACATGTTTTCTTAAAAATCCAAAAAATAGCATTTTTACAATTTTAACAACTACTTTTTTAAAAAAAAAATTTACAACTTCAGTATAACGGTTAACAACTTTTATAATGTTATTTCAGTAAATCAGTTAACAACAAGTTTTTCAAAAAATTCAAAAAGTAATATTTTTACAACTTCAGTAATATCGTTAACAAGTTCTGTAACTTTATTAACAACTTTGATATAGCATTTAACAACAGGTTTTTTTAAAAAAAATTCAAAAAAAGGCATTTTTATAACTTTAACAACTATTTATTTTTAAAATTTTTTACAACTTCAGTTTAACAGTTAACAACTTTTGTAATTCTATTAACAACTTTGATATAATAATTAACAACAGGTTTTTTGAGAAATTCAAAAAGTAGCATTTTTACAACTTCAGTAATGCTATTAACAAACTCAAAAACCTGTTGTTAACTGCTATACTGAAATTGTAAAAATTTTCAAAAAAATTATTTTCAATCGCCGAAACTTGTTGAATTTCCCAAAAAACCTGTTGTTAATTGCTATACTGAAATTATCAATAGCGTTACAAAAGTTATTAACTGTTATACTGAAGCTGTAAAAATTTTCAAAAAATTGGTTTCCGGCTGTCGGAGCTCTGACAACCAATTGTTGAATTTCCTGAAAAGCCTGTTGTTAACTGATATACTGAAATTGTTAATAGCGTTACAAGAGTTGTTAACTATTATGCTGAAATTGTAAAAATTTTCAAAAAAATTATTTTCGGCCGCCGGAGCTTGTTGAATTTTCCAAAAAGCTTATTATTAACTGCTATACTAAAGTTGTTAATAACGTTACAAAAGTGGTTAATTGTTATACTGAAATTATAAAAATTTTCAAAAAAAATTATTTCCAACCGCTAGAGCTTCGGTGACCAATTGTTAGCTGGTTGCCGAAGCTCCGATGACTGCCGCTGCTAGAGCTCTGACGACCGGCAGTAGGGACTTTGGTATTTTAAAAACAATAAATAAAATGAAAGGCAATTTAGTCTTTTCATTTGACAAGATAATGGCAATTTGGTCTCATATGACCAAAATGAGATTATGCAAGTTCAGCGAAGTTCGGGTCATTCCCAAGTTAATGTTATTTTTTTTATCTTTTTCCCTATTTCAAACTCGCGTCGCCTCTCAGAGAACACAAATCCTTCATTAGAAATTTGTGTTTGAACTATGAACAGAATATAACGAATTATGAAGCCAGATTCACTCTCACCACTTTGCATCGAAGAAAACATCCCCGGCTCAGATCTTCACTGGATGGAGACTATACTCTTATTTTAGTTTCCGTATATTTCTCAAGAATCTGCTTACACAGCAAAACATTACTAACAGATACTTAGAACTAAACTTGAGTTTAGTTTACCGCCGAAAGGACCGAGTAGTCTCAATTATCGTGGTCTGTATGAAACCAGCATGATTTACCAACTTCACCATTTACAGAAGGAACGGCTCAAGTATTTACAGTTAGAGAAGTTGCCACTCAGTTTCACTCAAGTTCTGCACTTGCAGGTTTTTGGAGTCCAGAGATGTTGGGAAGCTAAATGGCATGCCACTTTGTGATGTTCCATCATTGAATTCAATGTCACTATCTCCGTACCATATGGCTAGCTGTTCATACTCCTTTTCTATTCGCTTCTTCCGACCAAACACGTCCTTGATCCTTTTCTGTTGGAACAAAGAAACGCATAATGATTCGTGTTTCTTAATCACCATAAAAATTATAACATGCCAGAAATTTTTCTGAATCAGTCGATCTTGATTTTGTTAAAAATGTCCACGTCTTACGTTTCCATTGGATTTGTCAACCTTAGTTTTCCCAAAAGTATGATCAATTTCCAAGTGGGCCATTGCAAACAATAAGTATTGCTTTTGTGAAGATAAATCAGGGGTCTTATTTGGGTAAGTTTCGAGTTTTAGCAAGCTCTGGGCAAAAACACGAACCACAGAGAAACATTTAATACTTGCATGAAGCATGATTCACGGAAAGAGCATTATAATATAACATTTCTTTGAGTAAGAAGCATATCAATTGACGCATCTCATCAGAGGGAAAGAAAGGAGTACCTTGTATGATCTAAGCTTTCGGACCCTGGAGGAGGCAGCATGCAGTTCCATATCATCCACAAATATGCAACTTTCATCAAGCTTTATATCATCATCACTCAATTGAATGTCTTCCATGATGGATTCAATAGAATCGGCTAGACGTTCATCTAAACAAGGAAAACCCATGTCACACCAGGGACAATGAACTACACTGAAAAGGTAAAATATTGACAAGCACGGAATGGTACAGAAGCATATAATTAATTTTTTGCTATGATATTCAACTAAGAGTGGAAAAGCAATGACGGAGAAAGCAAAACTCCCATGTTTGTCAAGTTCCCAATAATCTCTCATGTTTGTCAAGTTCCCAATAATTAAAAAGTGTAGTTATAAATTTGATATTGCCCCGATGCCCTTGTCTGTGCGTAAATCCCCTCTATAGAAAACAAATCCGCCAAGTGAAGTAAGACATCATGGTCCAAAATTTTAATGGCGTCTGATAATTATGACTAACTGCGCTCTGAACCTGATATTATAGCACTTTCTTGAGCAGAAGGTATCTGTCCATGTTTAAGTCCGGTTCCAGGTAAGTTATTCGAAGGCATTACTTCATCGACCACAGAAGTCTCCCCCTCTGATAATATTGAAGCAAGTTTAATTCACCAGTACAAGGACGGAAAGAGTAGTTAGTTATCATAATCATTTCACAAAGAGAAAGAAAATAATGAGAGATGCCAACCATTTGACTCCATGGACTTGTTGCCGCCACAGGAAAGAAGTCCAGCCTGTGATGTCATGAACTCCCCAGCTACACCTACATCAGGGGTCGATGTACAGGATACAAGCACCATGGAACTGTCTAAACTGCACCCAGCAGTATCAACTGAATTTCCCCTGCAAGAATCAATTTCAGAGCAATAGCTCCCTTGTGACCTTGCAGATAGACCGTCAGATTCAGACGAGCGGGAACTTTCACTCGGCATAGTAGACAATGCCACTTCTGAGGAAGTGAGACCATATAAAGATTCACTAAATGTTGAGGATTCAAGGGGTTCTTTATCGTTAAGACACATCATATTCTTCCACAGCTCAGGGGTTGATTTGACAGCATTCTGTTCAAGGCTCACGTTCAAGTCTTTTTTCATGATACCAGAAGTTTCCCTGGAATCATCATCACCAACCTCTTCTTGAGTGGCGCCAGAATCAGCCACCTCACAGGAATTTGAGAAATTTTCATCGTTAACTTGATTTGCAGGGTCAGGTCCAATGGAAGCTTGAGCATGCTGATTACTGGTAAGATTATTTGCATCAGAAACATGGGATGACACAATGGTATTATTAACAGGGTTTTCCTCAACCCTTTCGTAATCCTCTGCAACAGCTGCGACTGACTCTAATGGAGAGTCAACATTACTATTCAAGGTCAGTGAAAGATGTCCATGTTTCTCAGAATTGACCAAAGGAGGTAGAGGAAGCACCTCCTGAACAACATCAGAATAGAACCTTTTTACACTATCTCCAACATTCTGAACCTGATTCCCAAGATATTTAACAGCATCCTGAACACAAAAAAATTATAAGAAATTAAGAATATCACTAAACAACAGCACTCAAAACATAGAACACTGTAAATATCAAATTAACAAACAAAATGCCAGAGCCACTTATTTTAGTAAATGAAAACGTCATGGAAAGGTCAAGGAAAGAGCAAATAGAAATGAAAGAATGAAATAGCACCTTCCCGACAATATCATCCACCTCTTGGCACACTTCTTCAAACTTCTGGTAAAAATCCCCCACCCATGTTATTCCTTTAAACTTGAAATCCATTTCATACCATGCACTACTGCACCAGGCCTGGAACGTCAGGAATATGATGCTTCACTGCAGGGGGGCTAACTTCATTCACAAAGTAGGAGATCCCAGAAAAATCTGACACGGCAGTAGAGGGGGGCACTTAAATCTAACAAAGCCCCAGTGAAACGCATATTAGTAGTTAAACATAAAATTGTCTTCCGCAAGTAATGTGCACATTAGATTAGTTCACCTTAATCTATAATTGCACCATCAAAGACATAATCAGTTCTACACATCTCTATGAACATCTAAAATTAGATATAAAAGAGAGGGAAAAAAAGAACTCCATGAGATATTACATAATCACAATCGAAGATAACAAAATTAATGAAAATCAAGGTAGTCAATGTAAGATTAGAGACCAAAACAACGGTTATAGTTAGTAAATGAAGTTAACTCTACGAAATTAAAGCATAGAACCCCTGATTTATGAATTCCAAAATCCGAAGCTTATTAGCATATACGTAACTACAATAGTAAAGGACTGTGAGCTCATATTGCTCAGCACATCAAACAGTTTGAAAACAGGTTTATTTCGGGATGACTTCTAAGGTTCAACAGCTGAGATAGCAAAGGCAATCTTGCGTATTTATAGGTCCTACCCGTACTGCTTCCTTAGATTATCATTACAGTTAGCAACTGATGCATAAGATAGTAGTTTGACATCAGTAACCTCTTTTCCCTCATATGTACAGTAACCAAAAAGAGCTGGGTGGTATGTACTGAGTTCAGCTACTAGCTGTTTCTCAAAGGAGAGAGAGAACCTCGAATTTTCCACAATCACAGCACCGTCGTTAGGTAGAGGTGTCTAAACAAAAAGCGAAAGGATTTCAAAATCGTCTAATCCAGGGGAAAGCCAGAACCTGGCATGTAATCAGTAGGATGTTTTCAAAAATTCGTCAAATTTAGAACAGAAACCCAATGCACTGCTTCTCTCCAGACGGAGACAAGCAACGAAATTAATATGTGAATGAATAGTTGAATACATGCAGAGCATTCTGCCAAAAGCATTTATTGATGCAGAAGGAAATAAGCCAAGGAACTACCTTTAAACAAACCCATATGGTCCGTGATCAAATTTCCACACAGAACATACGGTATGAATATGATCAAACTGGTAATTCTCCAAGATCAAGGATAACCAGAATCAGTATTAGGAGAGCTGTAGAAGAAGGACCATGAAGCACTGAAACAGATATGATCGACTATGGACAACTCAAACAGCAGGGCCTTGACAAGAGTGTCAAAGAGAAGTGCGAAAAACTGAAGCCGAGGTATGACCCCCGGGGCAAATAGCGTGCTGGGTTTTGATTATGGGGCTACGGGAAAATAATAGGGTTTTAGGAATCATTATCATCGTCATCGTTTATCATCCAAATCACATGTGCAAAATTTCATTTTAACCAATTTTTTTCGTAATTCCTAATATTTCATCAATTTATGAGAGAAATATAAAACAAAAGGGAAGATAATCAACAATATCAATATTTCAATAATAGCAATTAAAATTAATATAAAGTATAATTTTTTTAACAAGACACCGTATTTGCATTTGTAATTAGAAAAAATACAACTTATTTTTTTAATATACTGTGTATTGTATTGGAGAAAAGGAGTCTAGTTAATATTTCTTTATATAAGATCTAGTTAACATTATTAATTGTTATAAAATATCATTTTTGAGGTTACATTAATCAACAATGCTTCTAAATAGTACTCCTATTTCCTAGAGCCGAGAATCAGGGCCGGCCCTTCAGGGCTGGCGGGCTTAAAAGGGCCGGCCCTGCAGGGCTGGAATTTTAAAAATACCTTAATTTGTTAGGCTCGGCCCTTAAATAGTACTCCTATTTCCTCCTCTCATTTTTTTTAACTTATCTTAATTTGTGTTTCATTTTATTTTTAAATATATCTCATTATTCAAATTTCAAGATATAATTATTATTTATTTTCAATAATAATAAGAAAGGCATTCAATAGAGATAGTTAAAAATTAAAATAGTGTGACATTAAAGGGGACAAAGCTGATAAAAAAAAAAAAAAAGATTCTTACCCAGTGCATAGATTTTTCCCCCTTCATATATGTGTTTTTTTTAATGAGAACAAATAAATGAGAATGGAGGAAGTATTTGTTATGTACTTATACCTTGTTTACGAGCACCTTGTACTTCGACTCTAAAACTTGTGGTCCGAACAAAATTTAATGCGAGTACGTCTGGTTACTTTATTATGTTCATATTTTATATCCGATCCTAAATATAAAATTCTTTTTATAGTATACTATAAAAAAAGTTTTATATTTAAAATCAGAAAGAATAACTTATAAAGAATATTGTTTTTTAATAGTGTTTTACCACGCAACTTTTTTTTTTTGCTACAAAAGAGGGCTAGAGCCCAAATAAAAAAAAAAAAAGGCTAATTCACGGGGGAATCATATCCCAAAGACTCTTTGCGAACCAGTGTCCTCAACTGTGGTGGACAAGCATCCAGTAAGGAAGTTCTAGGCAGTCCCTCTTTGGCCAAGGCATCAGCCAATTTGTTTTGCTCTCTTGAAATAGCTTGTATTTTTAAGTCCCACGCATATTCCGTTAGTTTCCATGCAAACTTCAAACATTCAAAAAATTAACTCCGTTTTTTTTTTTTTTGGGGGGGGGGGGTCTAACCCAAATTGAGGGGCCTAAGCATTAAAAAGTTCGTGCCGCACGAACAAATTTTCACAGACTTACGATTATGGGGTTTTTAAAAACGGTGAGTTGGTTCCTCCTTAATATCAAGAAATCTCTTTAAAACTAAGTAGTGAAAGCGATTTCGTCGCCTGGTTTAAGCTCCATCCTCGCTTCGTGAAATACGCATTCCTCTTCGATACATATCTATCAACCAATGCCGGTAACCTGGAATGCTGTGAGAATGACTTGAGCACCAAAATCCAAATTAGATGAGACGCGAGAAGCTCAAGAGGCCTTCTACGTTTCTCAGAGGCTATCGTAACCGTTAATTTTGTCCCCAACGTTTGACACAGCTTGTTAAAAGCAAACGTTTACTCGTGCAAGAAGTTTTGCCCCTTCTTTTCTTTCTTTAGACTAAACTGATCTCTCTCCGGAAGGGCACCGAAGCATGTGCAAATAGTTTCTCAGGAATGATTGAGCATAAACATCAAATAGAAAGCCACGACGCTCCAGCACAAAAGCAATCACTTTCCTCATATATCTACCAACTTATATGCATACGTAAGGGTGTACATAAAACCCGCATATCCAATAAGCCCATCAGAGCCCGCAAAAGAGGGAAAAAAAAACATAGCCCAATCTAACAAAAAGCTACCTGAACAAAAATAGGTATTTTTAGGCCGGGCTGATTCATGGGCAGGGCAGGGACAGGGTATGCTGTCCTGCCTGAAAAAATATATAATTATATATGTATTATAATATATAATATAATATTATTTTAACCAATTATCTCCTTTATTTCGGCTAAAAAAATTAGGTAAAATTAGAAAAAAAAATGAAAAGAGCATAAAAATTATAATTATATAAAAGAACCAAATATCAAAATATAAGATTAAATATACTAAAATGTTCCAAGTCAAATTTCCTTCTTTTCCTCTTAAGAATTTGCCAACTACATGAATGAATTAAAGAATTGAACTACAGAATTAGCTTAATTATTAAATGTTTTAATTATTAAACATTTTTTTAACCTCTCATAAGAAATCGAAGGCTGAAGAATAAGACTACATAAACCTTATATGTATATTTATATATATATATGAGTAATTGAGTCATTCATGATAAAAAAATTTTCTCTCACTTGTCTCAAAACATAATAATTGAATTTTTTTCTACATATAATATGAGTAAGATATCACTAAACTGAGCAAAAGAGCAAGGGTTGCTCACCCCAAAATGATTATGACATCTACCAGGCAAGGCCAGCAAAACGTAACCCGCTCATTTTTCAGGTTAGGTATCAGGCGGCACAAAACTTGTCCAGCCCAGCCCATGTATAATCCTATGCGTACGTACACATATCTAGATATCAATCGATCGATCCACTTACTTCCCTGTATCACGAGGGAACCTAAGAATACTTTCCTTTGCTCGGCTCCTTCACAATATTCAGTGAATCAGTGTCACCATCCATTTTGTTTGCCCACATTAACTACACCACACTACTATGATTATTAATTTCACCCGAGGGTTGATTCACAATACTCGAGTTAACATATGTCAACAATTGCTGAACTGAATTAATTCGTACGCCCGAGGTGCTCGATATTCACATTTGCTTGGTAACACCGTCACTAAGTCACCAGTATATGGTTTTTCACAATCTGAGAGATTTAAAATAACAAAATAATCTTAACTGCAAAAATGATGTAGTTGTTCCATTACTCAACATAAAGATTCATAATTCATTGGATTGACAAGCAAAACTAAAAAATTTAGAATTTTTCCAACACATGCCATACACCCCAGATTGTCTTGGACACAGTTCTTCATTATCTACATGGCCACAAGACTGCCATATGTGCCAATCATCTCAAGTAGAATATTGACTCCCGCCAGCTGCGCCTTCATTATCCTAGTTTCAAGTGTAACTAAACTAAACTAATAGTCTCTACCGGACCATCCTGCATTTGGTGGAGCCCCTCCCATGTTCTGATTTGATGGCGCCCCTCCCATATTGCTCGGTGGCATGTTTCCCTGGCTGTTAGGAGGGCCTCCGCCCATGTTATGGGGAGGGAATCCACCCATTTGACTGGGAGGGTATCCGCCTGGGTTGTTGGGAGGGTATCCCCCTGGGTTGTTGCTGGGAGGGTACCCGCCTGGGTTGTTGTTGGCAGGGTACCCGCCTGGGTTGTTGTTGGGAGGGTATCCCCCTGGATTGCTAGAAGGGTACCCACCCGCATTGCTGGAAGGGTATCCCCCTGGATTGTTGGAAGGGTACCCGCCTGGGTTGGTGGCAGCATATCCGCTTGGATTGTTGGGAGGGTATCCACCTTGTTGATGTGGATATCCAGCAGGGTTACTAGGAGGATATCCACCAGGTTGGCTTGGAGGGAATCCACCAGGTTGGCTTGGAGGGAATCCACCAGGTTGGCTTGGAGGGACCCCACCAGGTTGGCTTGGAGGGACCCCACCAGGTTGGCTTGGAGGGACTCCAGTCATGTTAGGACTAGCAGCCTGCATAGGAGGTCTGCCCTGCATATCTCTGTTCACAATATTTTCCCTTCTCCTCTCAAAATTCCTTGACCTGTCAGCATTTCGAGGCCTATCATTGCGCCTGTTCCTTTCATTTGCTCGAGCATTGTTCCTTACCCATTCTTCATGATACTTGGGATCATATGGAACAGCTTGCCCATTTATAAAGGGTTCACCTGGTGGGCAAATTGAGAAATTCCACTAGATGTGAGGTGATTGCAGTTATTCAGCAGGAAGAAAATAATATAGGCAAAATATTACATTCAAGCAAGATTTCAGGCATTATACAAATGAAGCAGATTTTGAGAGTTACTGGTAATATGTTGAATTGACCAGCGCAAGTAGAAATGCACATATCATGCAATATTCAAAAATCAACTGAAATTAAAGGTAAAGTTCTCACCTCCATAATCTTTGTTCTTGACATCCAAATATGAATCAGGAAGAACCCACCGAACTCTAGGCAATTCTGCAATTTCAAAAAAATAATAATAATAATAATATTAGTTAGCTCCTTGCTTTTACAGAGGGGGGGGGGAAGCCAAAGTGCTTAGGATTGTCTTCACCCTTCAGTTTGTACGAAAGTTCTTCTGATACAAGGGCCCCGAATGCAAAGTAGTGTCTAGTTGAAACTGAATATATCTTCATCCTGGCCTCCTCTTCACTAAAAGACGCGGAACGATTCGTTGTCAATCATTAGGCAAAAATACAAAGTCACATAAGTAAAAAGATATACACATATTTTTTCTCCTAAAAATAAAGCAATAGCGTGCACTTAGTAACAAGCAAGCCATAATTGATTCACTTCCTCCTTCTGCTCCACCATTTGATTAGAGCGTTTTGAAGTATGAAAATTGACCAATAGCAAGAGCATACAAGTCAATCGCAAAACTACAATAGAAGTGCACATGAATAACCAGCAAAAATTGCTTCGTCTATTGTCAAATAATATATTAAGCAGCTAAAATGTAAAACTATAGTAAATACGCAGCTATAATACTAGTTAACACAACTGGGCTAATTTATGGGAAAAGGAAACAATCCGCCAATTCCAATAACAATCAAGAACAAAATTGAGATCGTAAGGAAATTGATCACCTAACCGTCCGGTGATTAATCATACAGAGTAAATCAATGGATACTGTCAAAGACCATACCTGCCCACCACTTGAGCCAAAGTTTTGATATAGCTATCAATGATCTCGTCCCTGGTGGGTTCACCTTCGGGCTTCTCCATGACAACAAGCCAATGCTCAAAATCACATCCATCAAGCAAGATGGTCTCTTTAGGAGGCCGGTTCGACCAGTTGGGGTTGGGATCATTGAGCGAAGAGGAAGTCGCACGGGTTGAGAAGGTTCGCAAGGTGGGAGGCGCAACCATGCGGCGATGGATATCAGCAGAAGCGACAGCGAGGGGGCGGAGGCGGCGGAGGAACGCAAGGGCGGAGAGGGGGAAACGAGCCCCGACGGGGAGAGGAGCAGATGAAGTGGCGCTGATGGCGGATGAAAGAGAGCGAGAATAGAAGAAGGCTGAGGTCAGAGATTTAGGGAAGGCGCGGGAGAAGATTTGAGACGCCATTTCTGTGGATAGAGTGCGAAAGGATCGAGCTTTAGCTTCAGCAGAGGAAAAACCCTAAGCGAAGGTTTATGCCGAGAAGCGGGGTTCCAAGGGTTTGTGGGCTTTATGATGAAACCCGAGTTCAGGAATATAATATGGCGCAGACGGTAAATAATTGCCTTGGGCTGAAATGGAAAACTTGTTGTCATAATAATTTTAAAAAAAAGTAAAAAATTAACTGAATGACAATTTTTATTGAAAAACATATAATGCATTATTTACAAATAAATCAAAGAAAGGAAGTAGATAATTAATAAAATGAATCCCTTTTTACTAAAATGAAATTAATTATATCATCAATATTAATGCAAAATTTATAAAATTTATAAAGAGTTATGCTGTTAACCATATATAAATAGTGTGACTTGTATTTTTTTCAGCAATAATATGAGTCATATTAAAATGTAAGCAATATTTTTATTCTTTTAATATCCCTTACATTCCAATCAATCATCATCAACCTCTCTCATTGGATTAGTTCATTTAAAATTAAAATTGATTCCTACTGAGTATAATTTTATTTAACATTAACTTAAAAAAAAAAACCTTTGAAAAAACAATTCACGTTAATGGTTGAATTCGTGTTAACTTTTTTCTAAGTATCAAAACGCTTGAATTCTTAATTTCTATTCACATTTCTGCCCCTACTCATGCCACCTAAATTAGGCACTCTCTTCCCCCCCCTCCCCCACAAAAAAACCGTTTAAATTAGGCTTAAATGGCTAAATAATCTTACTTTAAAATTATGCACATTGCAATTTATTTTATACTATTTTTTTACGTTATTAGTTTTTTTTCACCATGGATGTTATTAGTTTATTCAATATGAATATATCAATAAAAACAAAATGATGGGTGGGAACTGTTTAATTAATTTTCATTTATAATTTATTGATGTGAATATTATTAATTTTTTTTTATTTCATATAGTTTTGAAAGAAAAATCATAACATCCAATATTCAAAAGAAAAGAACTAGAAATATCCACAAGCAGAAGATTAACGTGAACTCACAAGATTAACATGAACTACACCTATTAAAGTGGACTTATTTCAAAATTTAGGATTCTATACGATGATTTCTTCTCGTCTACAACACTGGAGATATTTCGCAACATTCTGCTTCCCCACTTTGGTTATGGTAAAGGAATTGATGATCTTCATGCAAAGTTAAAGTACCGACCGTACAGAATCCACCAACCATTTTCAAGAAAGAGAAGCAATTTCACTCATAAAAAACAGAGATACGAACATGTAACACGTAATTTGTTGAACATATTAATTAATCAGTCAATTAAGAAAACTTGATGCTAACTTGTAAGGCTGTGTTTTCATAATTTGCATCACTTATCAACCTAACTGTGAGCTGTCTTTAGAATAACAGATAGTGGGGGCAACCAAACCCTGAACCTACACAGTCATATTCCGCTCACCAAAAAAACTTCCCAAGCATACTCTTTCTTTGGTTTCTTGAGGCTCTGTAACTCCAAAAAGCTCTTTCCTACATCCTGCGGACCAATAGAAAATAGCAACCAGAGCCCAAGTCAATCCTCATGTCCAACGCTTTCTAATGGACCATTCATTTAAACAACTTCGCTAACTTAAATAACTAGCAAATAGTTTGGTGTGTTAGCTTATCTCCTTCTCTTCCTATTCCTCCTTTTCTTCGTCTTAGTCACATATCTCAGATACTAAACTTCCTTTTTCTCTCACTTTGCATTTGCATGCACACAAACATACAATGGGATCACCATTGGAGCCAGTTTCATGTCCCAGAAAAACCCCATTTAGAATAGAAACCAAGAACTTATCATGCAGATTGCGCAGCCAGCTTGATGAGTTCAGAAGTCTGTTTTTTGGTTCAAGTCCAAGGAGCAGTGCTAAGCTGATCTTAAAAGATGTAAATTGTGAGGCCAAACCTGGAGAACTCACAGTTATTGCTGGTCCTAGTGGAGCTGGAAAGACCACACTGCTAGAGATTCTTGCAGGGAGAGTATCCCTATGTGAGGTTTCAGGGCAAGTTCTTGTCAATCATAGGCCCATGGACTTAAAGCAATTCAGAAGAACATGTGGGTATGTCACACAAGAAGATACATTGTTCCCTTCGCTTACAGTTAGAGAAACACTCATGTATAGTGCACTTCTGAGGCTTCCTGGGGGGAGAAAAGTGGCTGCTGCAAGAGTTGCAGGGTTGATGAAGGAGCTTGGGTTGGATCACATTGCAGATTCAAGAATTGGTACTGGTCGTGGTGGATCATCAGACCAAGGTATATCAGGTGGGGAAAGGCGAAGAGTTTCCATCGGAGTTGATTTGGTTCATGACCCTGCAGTTATTTTGATTGATGAACCAACTTCAGGGTTGGATTCAGCATCTGCGCTGAACATAGTCTCAATGCTTAGATTAATGGCATTTAATCAAGGTAAGACTATCGTTTTAACCATTCACCAACCTGGGTTTCGGATTTTACAGCTGGTTGATCATCTTGTTCTGCTCTCGGATGGATTTGTCATGCATAATGGGTCACTGAATCTTCTTGAGGCTAGGCTCAAGTTGGCTGGGCATCATATTCCACATCATGTCAATGTCCTTGAATTTGCCCTTGATGTCATGGGATGCTTGGTGATACAAACTTCAGAATCTAGGAACAATCAACTTCTTCTCAGAGACAGGGAGGAACAAGTTTGTAAAATGAGAATGCCGTGCTCATTGTATGTCAGAGAAAAGGCTGTTCAGTACCCAAATTCTCCAGTGGAGGAGATTCTAATCCTAGGACAAAGGTTTTGCTGCAACATATTCAGAACCAAGCAACTGTTCGTCACCAGAGTCATACAAGCCTTAGTAGCTGGATTTATACTAGGGACTATATTTTTTAATGTTGGCAACCGAGAAGGCCAAGTTGCCTTACAGACACGAAGTGGATTTTTTGCTTTCAGCCTTACCTTTTTGTTATCTTCGACAACAGAAGGCCTGCCTATTTTCTTGCAAGAGAAAAGGACTTTGATGAAAGAGACCTCAAGAGGAGCTTATAGAGTATCTTCATATGTTCTAGCAAACACACTAGTGTTTCTTCCTTTCCTTTTGATGGTTGGTCTTCTATATTCTACTCCAGTTTATTGGCTGGTAGGTTTAAGGAAGGAAATAGATGGGTTCCTATACTTTTCTCTGGTTGTTTGGTTGGTGGTCCTCATGTCAAATTCTCTTGTAGCTTGTTTCAGTGCTCTGGTGCCAAATTTCATCCTGGGAACGTCAGTGATTGCAGGGTTAATGGGTTCTTTCTTTCTATTTTCAGGGTATTTCATATCAAAGGGAAACATACCCAGATACTGGATTTTCATGCACTATATAAGTCTATTCAAGTACCCATTCGAGTGTTTTATGATAAATGAATATGGAGGAAAACAAGGGAAAGCCAGATGCCTAGAGAATAGGAATGGAGAATGCAGTTTATCTGGAGATGAGTTCTTAAGACAGCAAGGTCTGAGAGAGTCCCAAAGATGGAGTAATTTGGCTGTGATATTGAGTTTCATAATTGGGTATAGAGTGCTATGCTTTTTGATTCTGTGGTATAGATGCCACAGAACTAGAAAATAATAGATCAGCTTCATAAGGAATAGGTACTTTCCCCAGATTATTTTATATTTCTTCCTTACCACCAAGAATGAATACTTATGATAGGGTTAGAATAATTTATGTTTGTATATTGTATGCAAATAATCAGGGCAAACCTGCCCAAAAAATGTTTTGATTCTTCAGACTTTTGTGACTATTATAGCGTCTACACTTAGCCATGAATATACATTAATTGTCAACCCGAGAAGCAAGATGATAGGAAAAAGAGCAGTATTTAGACCCTCTTTTCCTCTCAAACCAGAAATATATCACTTCACTTTCAATTGGAAAATAACAAATGCAATGTGCAGATGATGTAAGCAAACATAAATAGAACATATCAATCACATTAAAATTGAATATCGATTATTAATGCAACCATATTAATGGAGCAGTACACAGGGCAATAACGTCATGTAGAGCTAAGACCTCGGCTAGACCTTTAAATAACCAAAAATAAGCAATCTACTAATGCAGCATATTTCAAATACTATCCTAGGTTTCAGAAAGTGTTAAATGAATCATCAAATGCTATAAACTCATTTACATGAGGGGCAAAAAACAAAACTTTACATTGCAGTAGCACGACAAAGAAGAGAAGACAACTTTTTGATAAGAGGGGAGAGCAGAACTCAAGCGTAAATGCATATACTCAACTTAACAGCTCCGATCATAAATTGAAGTGAAGGTCATGGTAGCAAAAGAGGCCGTGGTCTCTGTCAAAGAGGAAACATCTTGCTTCCCTGTGATGCCAAGGGAAGACGTATTTTCCACTTCAGCCTCAGCTTTTTGCATCTTTTCATCTTTGGATTCGACAAACTCAAACAGTAATCCTGGCTTTGTAATTTTCTTTTCATCAACGTCAATTTCACCCATCAACATGCCAAGCACAGTAGACATTGATGGTCGGAGCTGAGGAGAATCCTGAGCGCAGAGAAGACCGATTTTACAAAACTGGCATGCCTCCTCAATATTAAAGTTGTCTTCTAGCAATGCATCCACCAGTTTCTCCAGCTCCCCACTTTCATACATAGTCCATGCCTGCAAGTCATACAATTGTATCATCCTCTCAACCATCTTCATAACTGTAATAAATATTAGGATGACTTCTATGCTATGATCGCTTCAGATAATATGCAATTCAATCCAAGATTAAAAGAAAAGGGGTATTTATGCAATTTGCAGGAATCTCGAACCATTTATACTTTGTTTGGATTAAGAAGGATGGATGACGAGGAAAGAAAAGAGAATATTTAATTCAGATTCCAAACAAACTTTTCATTTGATTCTCCTCCTTTCGAAGTATCCTAGAGATTCCAGGTCTCAAGGGACGTCAACTGTAAAAGAGAAGTTGTCCCAGGTTAATTATAGCCCACTATAACAACTTATTCCCTCCAAATGATTAGACAAAAAGGAAAAAAGAATGATTACATTGTATTTACATCCCTAATCACTACCTTAAATTCCTCTAGAAAGCATGGTAAGTAACATCGAGGTAAAATTTATACTAATGTGTTATCTAAACTATAGTTAAAAGACTGAAAATGCAACTAAAGAGACAGAACCGTGTCTTGTTTGAACACATGAAATTGCTCCCAGGATTATCAAGCAAATCTTTGCCAAACTTCAGCAATTTTATCACAAAACCCTCGAGTTCCAACTTCTTATAGGTGGGCATTTCACACTACCTTAAGAATTAGGAATAATTTCTCTCTCAATGTAGATCAGCTTCATGAGTTATTTTCACTCAAACTGATCTGACAATTAAAAAAACAAATCAACATCCGCGTTTGGTAGCCTTTTCTCATTTTGTACTTTCCAAATGAAAGGTTCATACCTTTGGAAGAAGATAATGTTCTTCAGGAGGTAACCGTCTATTTGTGTTACACCTCCCACTAACAATTTCTAATAGTAGAACTCCAAAACTGTACACATCTGATCTTCTTGTTACTTGACTTCGTATTGCATACTCAGGCGCTAGATAACCACTATAAAAACCACACAGTTTAATATATGGTCATAGTAGGAAGCAAATGGCTAGAATTTCCAACAGTATTTGAAAGAATCAAAACCAAGATACAAGGAAAAGAAGCAGTTAAAGCAAATGGTATAAATAAGTTGTATGTTTCCAAAAATCAAAGCAAATTTTAGGAACTTACGCTGTACCAGCAACACGTGTACTGATATGGGTCAAGTTTGGCGAAAGAAGCTTTGCCAGACCAAAATCAGAAATTTTGGGCTGCAGGTCTTTATCAAGTAGTATATTGCTTGCTTTAATGTCTCTATGGATAATATGTGGTTCAACCTCCTCATGAAGGAATGCTAGGCCTCGGGCCACGCCGATGCAAATGTTCCGCCGCACAGGCCAACTGAATGGAATGTTACTATGGCCTCCACCTATAAAATCACAAGACTGAATCATGATTATATCAACAATTTATACTCGTATATCCAATGCAAAATAGATACTTACCAATAAGTGTTTGAGCTAGGCTGTTGTTTTCAAGATAGCCATACACCAAAATCCTGTGATTTCCTTCCACACAGCATCCGAACAACTTAACTAGGTTCTCATGCTCTATGCTGGTGATCACCTTGATTTCTGTCAGGAATTCCCGAACCCCTTGATGCGAGTCAGCTGATAGCACCTTTATAGCAGCAAGAGTCCCATCTCTCAGTTTTCCCTGATCAAAAAACAAAGTTATCATTGGTCACTGAAGAAGGAAACATAGACATAGCACAGGTGAAAATGTCCCGAAAATGAAGCAGCAGGTTGAGAATTCTTCATTAATTGTCAAATGAAACCATATTACTGCAGTCACCTTATAGACAGATCCGAAACCGCCTTGCCCTATCTTGTTTTCTGGGCTAAAACGTTCTGTGGCAATTCGGAGTTCCTTGTAGGTGTAAAGGTTTACATTCTGAATGTCTGAAACCTCTTACCCAACATAGACATGATAGCATAATTTAGAAATAGAACTTTGGGAATATAGCGAAACTTTTTAATATCAGGTAATAAAAGCATAATAGTATATTTTGTATTGGAAGTGCAAACAATAACAACAGAAGAACAGGCTAAGTATTTGTGTACCAAGATCAATTTCGGTTGGTTGTGTGGCTGAGACACATCCCTTTTTTCTGATAATACAAGAGAAACAACTCATCACAATGTAATTCAGGGGCTCCAATGGATCGAACCCAGTGCTGCAATGCATGCAATCGAACATTAATCTATAATCCTCCAATAACTAAGATCATGTGCAAAAAAAGTGAATTCATCGTAAGAGGCAAAAGCCTTGAAATGATTAATTTTCCAATTCCTAATCTTGAATTAGTAGAATTGTCGACCGATGCATCTTGTATAAAGAGAAGTCACAGCTTAATATGGAATTTTCTTTGGCTGAACTTTCTGTCAAATCTTGGCCGGACAAAAAAAAAACAAAAGAACTTTCTGTCAAATCAGAACACAGAAGTCATAGCATGCATTTGCTGAAACGGAAGTAAAGTTAACGATGGGAAGGTTAAAGAAGAAACCAGCGAAGAGATGAATAGTGCCCACTACTAGTATCATTCACCCCCCCTATTTACTTCTTCCATCAGCTCAAGGATCAAACAGAAACTATGAGGGGAAATAGATCGCTGAAAAAGCACGAACCAAATGTAGACTGAGTCATAGCTAAAAGTGAACCAGACATGAAAGATGAACTTACTTGTTAGAAACCAAGTAGCAGAAGAGAGAGATGGAGAGAAACGGAACCGCTGGTTTGGGATGTTGACCTGAAGGTACTGGTCTTCCTTTGAATTTGTTCTCTGAAAGAAGGGAGGTGGAAACAGCAGAATGGCCAAAGGGGCGTGAAGTAAAATCCAAGGCAATTCAAGTCCTGGAGGGAACTAACTTTTCCTGACCTCTTAATTTAACAGTGAAATCCACAACAGAAGATACAGATGAAATCCACATGCAAATTCAACAAGCAAGGCACTTAGGCCAATATACGTAATACATTACATTTACAAGCACAAGGCATTATCCCAAAAGTGCATATTTCTCCTCTAATTCCATATGAAATTTTTTTTTTAAAGTCTTTTTTTAATACTGACATAATTAGTCTCAAATAATATTTTGTACTATTAATGTATTATCTTAATGGTAATTAATCATATTTCGCTTTAGAAAATTGATTTCATTGTCGTTATTTATCCTGTTGTCCTTCTCGTTTCTGTTTTTATTATTGGTCATAGGATGACTTCTTATAATCTAAGCCCTTTATATGCTTAAAATCATTTTGAATTTCAATTACGTTTAAAATACTTATAATCATATAAAACTCATCCTAAAATATTAAGACTTAATCATAAACATATAAAAGTCTCTAAAAACATTTAAAAAAAAAACGCAACATCTAAATTACAAATGATTAAAAAATAAAAAATTCACGTAGACTGGACCGAACCAATCCAAGTGGTTTGATCACGTGGTTCGAAACACAATTCAAGTCAACCAACCAGTCTAATCCAGTCTAGTCTAATTTAATTATATAATTTACTTGGATTGGACTGGTCCGTACCATCGGATTTTTGAACACCTTATGAAGGATATTTTTCAATTACGTTGCGTTCGCTCATTGGCCAATGGCCATATTCGCATACTGCGCCTCGTGCCATGGCAATTTGACCCGATCTCATTCATTCTTTCTCCAGTCAAACAAACGCTGCCTATGTAATTAATCACATCCAACTAATTAAAAAATACTATAAAAAAAACACAAGTCGTCTGTATAATTAATCGTATACATCTAAATGAAAAATCAAAATTTACTTGTTGAGGTTGAAAGCAGATTGTTACTGAGTGATCATAGGGCATTAGATATAGAGAAACAAAATGCTCATTGGCATAGCTGATACTCCTGTGCCATTAAATTAAGTGTGCTAGGAACTAATTTTAATTATTTACTTATAATGTAGGGAATTAATGAAATATCGCCTGATTAACATATGTCGATAATTCCTAGGAGAGGTTTGAATTAAGAATTTTTTTTCTTTTCTTTTTCTTTTTCTTTTTAACACTCTTCCCTTCAGAAGTCTTGTTTGAAGTCGTCGTCCATCACGCTAATTAATTTGTTCAGCACATGCGAGCGTGGTTTGGAGTTGCCACTCGGCAATTCAATCCTATCCACCATAGCATTTACTGCCACTTTTACCCCTCCATTGGTAATTAGCAAATACTCTTCCGGTCTTAAATATAAAACTCTTTTTATAATATAAATTATATTATAAAAATAGTTTTATATTTAAAATTGGAGGAGTATAATTATATAAATATTATTCTCTATTTTACAAGCTCATTTCCAGGAAAAAAAATCCTTTAAATACTATCTCTAATCGTTCCAAGTACTAGCGTAAGATTTCAATTCATGTTGTGGTTTTTAAATTGCAATTTGTTCTTTAAAACATCTCTATTAATTACATACATGAAAAAAATTTCATTCAAAGATAAACATAAATAACAAAAATATTTTTAAAAAATCAACTCATATTTATTATAAATAATTAAATAATTTTCTTAAAGTAACTCTTAATATGCGGTAGTATATATAAAATCCAATCCACCACTCACATTACTTATTAAGAGGAATGTAGGCTTATTTATTCAACTATTTTTTTTTTTGGGTAGAATTAGCCCGTAATACATGCTAACTTCTCAACACGATGGCTTGATAGATAATACACAGATGTTTATAAACCAAGTTTCACCAAGAATTTTCTCATATTTGATGAGAACGTCAAAAATCAAATACTCCATCCTTACTTTGTTTGAATTTATTATGATGAAAGCTACAAATCCTGTTGCTCAATTTGTATTCACATACATATTCAATAAGAACAGGTTTTCAAACAACCATGACAGAATATTCAAAGACGAAAGTAAATCTTGAAGGAAAAAAAGAATTGAGGGTGAATGGATTAGCAATTGAAAAGATAGCCTATAGGTAATTTGACTTTTGAAAAAGTTAACGGAGTAAAAGTTAAATTGAATAATATGAATTGTATTTGGATTGAATTTTATAAAAGTTAGTTTGTAAAAATAAAATTGGATAAAAATTTATCTAGATTATGATTAAATAAAAGTAAGTTTAGTTTGTAAAGTTACTAAAATGAGTATAAGTTTTATTAGATAATAAAAAATAAAAAAAAATTTACATAATACAATGAATTTAAATTAGTAAGTTTAGTTTGTAAAATTACCAAAATAAGTATGAGTTTTATTAAATAATAAAAAATGATTAAAAAAATGAATTTACACCATATAATAAATTTAAATTATTTCAATGTAAAGGAGAAAATTTTCATGACTGAAATATATTTTAAAAAATTAGAGTTATTATAATTTTTTTGTAAATATAAAGTGAAACATAATTTTAAAAAATTCAAAATTATTTATGTATATATTGTGTGTACACAATATGAGAATTAAAATGGTGAATGATGTAAAATTATAAGTTTAAAATATCATAATAAAAAATGTCATATTTAATGGGTAAATTATGTTTAAATGGCTGAATTTTATTGGATTGATATTAGCACTAAGAAATATTAATCTAATGAAAGATAATTATGGGGATTGTGGTTGAAAACAAATGTTAGAAGAATGTTTAGCACAAATGATTTATTATCACATGAGATTAAGCAATCCTATATAGATGGCAGAGGAAAATTCCTCATGGTATTCTTCAATCCCACATATACAGATTTGTCTAATCTCAAGTATCATACAATTATTCATATTAAATATTTTTTTAATATAATTTTTCAGTCTCAATCTCAATCTTTATCTCTCATTTCTAATATTTGGTAGAGACCAATATGCTCATGTCGGCCGAGGGAGGGAGAGTCTTATCGGCTACACCTCCGATCACCGGCAAACAAGGTTGATTCCTATGGCCATGGCTACACTCACTGACCACCTTCACTTCCTTCTCGTGCCTTTAATGTCCCAAAGCCACTCACCCCCTTCACACAAATGGCTAAACTATTTTCAAGCCATGGCGTTACAGTCACCATCATCCTCACACCCTTCAATGCAGCTAAGTTCAATAGATCTCCAAGCACAAGCTTCCAACCTCAAAATTCATGCCCTCTCCTTTCCTTTTCCTTCCTCTCAAGTGGGATTGCCCCAGGGATGCGAGAATATAGATTCCCTTCATTCTCGCGTCAGGATTCAACATGCCCAGAGTCGTCTTTCCCATGACGAGCATGAATGGCGACGGCGACTACGACTGGTGACTGATCTACAGAGGAGAGGAGACGAGCTCGGCAGTGGCACTGGCAGAGAGAGTGAGGGGAGACAGAGTGAGAAGCATGAGACGGGGGGACAAGCGTGAGACAAAAATGAGGGAGAGGAGAGAGAATAAAAGCCATAAGCAAGCAGGGAGCAGCTTCTCAGAACGCCGGATTGAAACCAACTTTTGGTCCACAAGTCATGTCCTAGCATGCGTTTGCTGAAACGGAAGCAAAGTCAATGATGGGAAGGTTAAAGAAGAAACCAGCGAAGAGATGAATAGTCATTCACCCCCACCATTTACTTCTTCCATCAGCTCAAGGATCAAACAGAAACTATGAGGGGAAATAGAGATCGCTGAAAAAGACATGAAAGAGGAACTTGTTTGTTAGAAACCAAGCAGCAGAAGAGAGAGATGGACAGAAGGGGAACCGCTGGTTTGGGATGTTGACCTGAAGTTACTGGTCTTACTTTGGATTTGTTCTCTGAAAGCAATGGAGGTGGAAACAACAGAATGGCCAAACGGATGTGAAGTAAAATCCAAGGCAAAATTCAAGTCCTGGAGGGAACTCACTTTTCCTGATCTCTTAATTTAACAGTGAAATCCAAAACAGAAGATACAGATGAAATCCACATGCAAATTCAACAAGCATGGCACTTAGGCCAATATACATAATACATTACATTTACAAGCACAAGGCATCATCCCAAAAGTGCATATTTCTCCTCTAATTCCACATGAAATTTATTTTGTAAGTGTTTTTTTAATACTGACATAATTAGTCTCAAATAATATTTTGTACTATTAATGTATTATCTTAATGGTAATTAATCATATTTCGCTTTAGAAAATTGATTTCATTGTCGTCATTTATCCTGCTGTTCTTCTCGTTTCTGTTTTTATTATTGCTCATAGGATGACTTCTTATAATCTAAGCCCTTTATATGTTTAAAATCATTTTGAATTTTAAATTGCTTTTTAAAAATATTCTTAGCTTTGAATTTTCTTTAGAAAATTATTTTACTATGCCAAAAAGGGGAGACACAAATATGAAGGATATTTTTAAATTACGTTGCGTTCGCTCATTGGCCAATGGCCATATTCGCATACTGCGCCACGTGCCATGGCGATTTGACCCGATCCCCCCGGTTCTTTCTCCGGTCAAACACAAGTTGCCCATATAATTAATCATATCCAACTAATTAAAAAATAATAAAACACACAAATTGTCTGCATAATACTACCTC